AAAAAAAGATGGAAAATAGATTTAAAAAAAAGGAAAGGTACACACTTAGTCAAGAGAAGGAAGTGAAAATCTATGTGCGTAGAGAGGGATGCCACGGAGAAGGTGGGCACAGGGCGAGTACTGACTTATCCCTTGAAGCTACCAAGTATTATGAGAAAGAAAGTAGGGTGAGAGCAAAAAAGCAGGAGAAACGGGTTGAAAGTCTATCTATAATACAATTACTTAATCCCAGAATACTCCAGTTAAAAAGAGTACAATCAGAAACAAATAGTATAACACATTTCAAATTTGATAACACAAATAAAAAACTAATAGAAGGATTAGAGGATAATGTTAATGAAATCTCCTAGAAATTAAAACAAAGAGATAACTGAAAACCAAAAGATTAAAATAGTAAAGAAGAATGCATGAGGTCCAACATCCCGCTAACAAAAGTTCCATAAAGAAACAACAGAGAAAACAGATTCTTTTACCTCTTTGTTTGTTTGTTTTGGTGGGGGGGGGATGAGGGAAGACCTATCAAAGAGATGATTCAAGAAAATCTCCCCTTACTAAGTGTCCAGTGAGACTGAGTGTCCTGATTGAATTCGTGTCATACTTAACTTTTTTTTTTAAGTGACAGCATGAGAAGACTGCAACCATTTACAGGAAAGAAGTGTAGGCACAAGCAAAGAAACCAGAATCTGAGTGGAATCACAGATGAACAGCAACACTCTGTGCTAAGACAGCACAACAATGCCATCCAAGAGGAAAAATGACATTCAACCTAGAATTGCATAGTAAACTATCAAGTCTTAAAAGAGAATAAGGACAAACTTTTTGCATTCATTCAACCAAGATTTACAGTTCGCCCTTGAACAATGTGAGTTTGAACTGCACGGGTCCACTTATATGTGAATTTTTTCAATAAATACAGTACATTGGAAATTTTTTTAGAGGTTTTCAACAATTTGAAAAACTTCACAGATGAGGACTTCCCTGCCAGTCCAGTAGTTAAGACTCCGTGCTTCCAATGGAGGGGGCGCAAGTTCGAACTCTGGTCAGGGAACTGAGATCCCACGTGCTACACGGCCCCCTGCCGCAAAAAAAAAAAAAGAAAGGAAAAGAATTCACAGATGAACCACGTAGCTTAGAAATATCAAAAAAATTAAGAAAAAGGTATGTTGGGACTTCCCTGGTGGCACAGTGGTTAAGAATCTGCCTGCCAATGCAGGGGACATGGGTTCAATCTCTGGTCCGGGAAGATCCCACATGCCGCGGAGCAACTAAGCCTGTGCACCACAACTACTGAGCCTGTGCTCTAGAGCCCACGAGCCACAACTGCTGAAGCCCACACGCCTAGAACCCATGCTCCGCAACAAGAGAAGCCTCCACAATGAGAAGCCCGCACACCGCAAGGAAGCGTAGCCCCTGCTTGCCACAACTAGAGAAAGCCCACGCACAGCAACGAAGACCCAACGCAGCCAAAAATAAATAAATAAAATAAATTTTTTAAAAAGCGATTTTTCACTTAAATGTTTATTTAAAAAAAAGGTATGTCATGAATTCATAAAACATGTGGATAGTAGTCTATCCTTATATAGGCATAAGGTGAATGATATTTAATAAAAACTACTGTGTTAGTTTTCTTACTGTTTTATAATTTTCCTTTCAAAGAATTACATTACCATTCATTATATTAAATTGCCTCTCTCTCTAGTAACTGGAAAAACTGCTTATCAGCATCTTATCACAGGTAGGTGGGTTTTTAAAAAAAATTGTATCAATGTTTCCAATAGTGTATTATGAATATAACTGTAATACTCTATGCCATAAAACTTTTTAAATGGTTCATTCATTATCGTATAGGCTAGGCTACTGTGAAGCAATCATATCAATTACACTAGGCTACCATAAAGAATCATATTGCTGGGCTTCCTTGGTGGCGCAGTGGTTAAGAATCCGCCTGCCAATGGAGAGGACACAGGTTCGAGCCCTGGTCTGGGAAGATCCCACATGCTGCGGAGCAACTAAGCCCGTGCGCCACAACTACTGAGCCTGCGCTCTAGAGCCTGAGAGCCACAACTACCGAGCCCACGTGCCACAACTACTGAAGCCTGCGCGCCAGAGCCCATGCTCCACAACAAGAGAAGCCACTCCAATGAGAAGCCGGCGCACCACAACAGAGATAGCCCCCACTCGCCGAAACTAGAGAACGCCCACGTGCAACAACAAAGACCCAACAGAGCCAAAAATAAATAAATAAATTTATTTATTTATTTAAAAAAAAAAAAAAGAATCATACTGCTGATTCTTCATTATCAATGAAGATCACTATAGCATGGATCACTATACCTGTAAATAAATATGAACTTCTTTTCACATTTTTTTTTCCTTTTTAATGTCTAGTGTTAGTAACACACGTAACATCTACAGTGTTTTGTATTGTGTAAGACAATACTGATGTAGGTACTGACAGACGATTCATCTTATAGTTAGATTTATGGTATCAATAAATACAGCATAGTACTGTAAGTATATTTTCTCTTCCTTGTGATTTTCCTAACATTTTCTTTTCTCTGGCTTACTTTAAGAATACAGTATATATTCTGTATGACATACAAAATATGTGTTAATCAACTGTTTATGTTACGTAGAAGGCTTCCAGTCAACAGTAGGCTATCAGTTAAGTTTGGGGGAGTCAAAAGTTTTATGAAGATTTTCAACTGTGCAGGGGGTTGGTGTCCCTAACTCCTGCATTACTCAAGGGTCAACTGTATTAGGCACCAAAAACAGGCACTAATCAAGGTGCTGGAGGCAATCAGTGAGCAAAAAAGTTGCTACTATGAAGAAATTATTCAAAGTGTTTGGCTCTGGGAAACAGAGTTGGAAGAAAAGGATGGAAAGGCAAGACAAAGCTTTGCCTGAGATTTTTTTTTTAATGCTGTATTTAATATTCTTTTTAAAGAAAAAAATTACTAGATGTCATTTACAGATATAATTCCAAATAATTTTAGATATAAAATTTTAAAAAATATAATACCTGTAGAGGCTCACAGATCCTCTGCAGCCTTACCTGGACCGGACCAGAAGAGACTGTGTAGCTATGGGAATAGCAGGAGTACTGAGAACTCAGAGTCAGGGAGGGGGTGACTGGATTCTCACACAAGAAGTAAAGCCCAAGGTTAGGCCTCAGAGCCTTCATTTCTGGACAGTGACAAAACACACACACACACGCACACAGCAACACATTTCTGTTCCTCACAATTCTCTCTTATAAATTTCTTACGTACGGACCCAGGACCACGAGAGATTTTGTCATATGTGACCCCCTAGTTGTAGTTCTTCTGAGTTGTATGAGGGCAATTAATAGGCTAAGTATCAAATCTTTTCTACCTTCAAACTTTTAAAACTCTGAATTGAAAATGGACCTGTAAAAATTAGAAACTGATTTTAGAAAAACATGCATCTAGCTCCAAAACAGAATAATGTGATTTAAAATTCTTTGATTGTTCTTTATAATGAACTACTCAAAGAGAAATGAAGCAATAAAAGAGCCATTTACTTGCAAGTCTAATAACATCTCACCAGTGGAAATCAATGAAGTTACTGCTGCATTGGCACTATTAGCACCAGCAAATATCACATACAAAATTATACTCTTTACCTAATTAGGATTTGATAAATTGTTGTTCCATAAAACACAGCTAACTGAATTCTAACGTGTACCCTATAGAGCTAAAACAGCAACAAGCTCTAAAAATAATGGTAACAACAGCAAATCTTATTTTCTTGTACAATCTCTTGATACTGGGTGAAAAGGAATAAAATCTCTCAAGTTCAATCTAACCAAACACAGAAATCACCACAACAGCATCTGAAACTCAGTTTTTCAAATGTACAAGTTAATTTCATTTACATATTTGTATAAATTTCTACGGGCTTCTGAACAAGAAATGATTCCCATGCCATTAACATCCTAAAAACATTAAACAACCGCAATGGCAAGAATTGGCATTTAGACAATGAAAAATTTAAAAGAATAGAACTATCATCAAAAATAACGGGGCTTCCCTGGTGGCACAGTGGTTAAGAATCTGCCTGCCAATGTAGGGGACAGAGGTTCAAGCCCTGGTCGGGGAAGATCCTACATGCCGCAGAGCAGCTAAGCCCGTGCGCCACAACTACTGAGCCTGCGCTCTAGAGCCCGCACGCCACAACTACTGAGCCAGCGTGCCACAACTACTGAAGCCCGCACACCTAGAGCCTGTGCTCCGCAACAAGAGAAGCCACCACAATGAGTAGCCCCCTCGCCGCAACAAGAGACAGCCCACGTGCAGCAACGAAGACCCAACACCACCAAAAATAAAAATAAAAATAATTTTTTTAATAAAATAAAATTAAAAGGGCTTCCCTGGTGGCACAGTGGTTGAGAATCTGCCTGCTAATGCAGAGGACACGGGTTCGAGCCCTGTTCTGGGAAGATCCCACATGCTGCGGAGCAACTAGGCCTGTGAGCCACAACTACTGAGCCTGCGCATCTGGAGCCTGTGCTCCGCAAGAGAGGCCACGATAGTGAAGAGGCCCGCGCACCGCG